GCCTGGCCGGGCTGCACAAGCTGCCCGGGATGGTGCAGACGCGGCTGTGCCTGCGCGGCTCCACCTGGTCCCCGCTGGAGCCCTTCTGCGGCCGTGAGTAGCCCCCGCACCAGCCTCTCCCCAGGGACCAGCTCTGCTCAAATCCTGCCCGGGCTCTGCTGCTTTCTGGCCCCTTCCCTGCACCCGGCCCTGCCTGCTTGCCCTGGAGCAGCAAAGCTGCATGCTCAGGCGGGTTGTAAGAGCCAGGTGGGGCCGGTCCTGCCTGGAGCAGGGGGTTGGACTAGGTGCGATGGTCCACGCTTCTAAACTAGGGAAGAAAAGCAGCCCCTTTCTTCAGCCAGCCAGGTAGGTGTGATGGACCGCGGTGTGCCATCCCCTGATGGTCCTGCTGTCTCTTCGTACCACGCTTGTTCCTGAACCTTTGCAGCTAGCAGCGCGTTGTTATTCATCAGCCCCGTTTACAGTATTATGTAGTTGTGGGTCACGCAACGTTTCATAGAAGCGGGACGTCGGCTCCTGCTTTCCCTGCGGCAGGTCGGGGCGTGAGGTGTGTGTTGGGTGGTCTAATGTAGGTCTTAGATTATGGATGGTACAGGATGGTTCATCTAGTCACCAGGAGGTTGCAGTAGGTGACTTTGGAGGTCTCTCTGTGACTTACGATGCACGATAGAAGGCTAAAAAATGCAACTTGTGTTTAATCCCTGTCTCTACTGCTATTTTTGTGCGTGTCATCTTTGTTCCTAGGAAGCTGTAGCAGCCCAGCGAGGGCCAGGTTTGCTCAGCTGTCAGAGGAGGACGAGAAAAAGAGTTTCTACCCTGTTGGGAGCACCGTGCGTTATATCTGTCGCCCCGGGTATGAGAATGTCACTGCAACGCAGCCAACCAGTACTTGTCTTGAAAATGTAACCTGGTCAGATATCCCCGAGTTGTGTAAAAGTGAGTGTCTTTTTTGCTTCTTCCTGTGGATCGTGTAACCAACCTGGACTAGACAGCAGGAGAGTGTTAGGGAGGTGACCGCGGCTGATCTGTCAGCATTAACTTGTGTGACTTTTAGGTTGAAATATCTTTTGGTCCATTGATTTCCAATTCTTTTTGAGCTGGAAATGAGGCAGTAAACAGTGGACACCCTCACGGCTGGGCAGTGATCCTTGCTGTGCATCAGTGGTTCAGTGTGGGTGGCAGTTTCCATTGCTTATTCTATACTTGGAACAGAAATCACAAATAATGCAGTAACTGTTAGGCAGGGTTTTAAAATGATTAGCATGATCTCAATGCAGCCAGTAGGAGAATGAGAATACTCCTACTGTTTTGTTATGGTGTCAGCATGCCGCATCTTCCAGTTGGTGCAAAGGTCTCTTCTAATGCAGGGTTACAGGAACTAGGTAAATGGAAACCAGTCTTCGCTCTCCCTCCTTGAAAAAATGGGTTAAATTGTCTATTACAATTTGCTACAAATGCTTTCTGGTGCATCTTTAGGTGCAAGTGCTCTGGCCTGGCTGATTTAAACAAGCACTTTATGTGCATAACAGCTTTATGGGCAAGAATCCTTGTTTATAGCAGGGACAGAATCCCACCCTGGGAAAAGTACCTGCTGCTTTTCCCAGGATCGTAGCTCACATTGCACAATGCAGGAGAATTTCAAGGTCCTTGTTTATAGCAGGGACAGAAATGTTTTCCTGGCATAACTGTTCATTTTCTACTCATTTTTTTTGTGTTTTCCTGGACCCTGGCTCTCTTTCTTGTCTTGCCTATGGAGATGATACAGTTCTGAGTGCCCTTCTGGGGGAACTTTTCCCAGGATCGTAGCTCACATTGCACAATGCAGGAGAATTTCAAGGTTGCAAAGGGGAATCAGGCAATTAGAAATGGACAAGGATGTCTATGGTTAAGTAGGATGAAAGAGAGAGATCTAATACTCGAACTTAGGTGGTCTGAGGTTGTCTTGTTCTCCTGTAAGGGTGTGAGGGAGTTTCCCTTCCTTTTAACATGCTGGCGCTAAGCTCGGTCTCTCCTAGGGAAATCTTGCGGTGCTCCAAAAGGACCAGAACATGGCAGAGCTGCTGTTATAACAGACTTCCTCTTTGGTGCCAGGATGAACATAATTTGTGACGCGGGGTGAGTCAAGCTGCACCGAGTGATTCATAGGGCCTTAGCTGGGGTAGAGCTGCTGGTCAGCACTGGAACAGGGAGAATGAGAAACCTGGTCTTGTATTAAAAGAAAAAACCCCTACTCAGAGCAGATGCTAGAAGCCTGTTGCCAGGCCTGGGCTACCTGCTTGAAGAGTAAACATTTCTTAAAAGAAATGGGCCAGACATTGGAGCGCAAGATCCCCCACACTAATTAGGAGGGCAAAAGGGACGGCTGTGGCATCATGGGTGTTGCCTGATGCATGCAAACTGTTGCTGGAAAAACCTACCTAGTGTGCAAGCAGATTTGCTTGTAATTTCTTTCTGGGTATAGTTTCTAATCTTGAGAATAACTGACCCATCTACTGGCTTGGAAGCCATAAAGCAAGCATGGGTGCCATGGCTTAAATGAACATGTATGGTTTTATCAGTGTAGCACACCCTTGAGTGGCTTGTGATTCTCAGCCAGGGTGCCTTGAGATCCTTTCAGGGGTGTTGCAGGGTGCCACACAATGTTAGCACTGTTACGTGTGCCACGTGATTCACAAACTAAATCCTAAGTTTTCAAAGGGGAATCCGTAGTCTTAAAACCTTTTTGACCCGTTAAGGTCTATGTGAGTGCTTTGCACAGAAGAACTGCTCTATTTCTTTTGTGTAGTCCAAAAAAGGATTGAAAATGAAGAGCTGGCATTTTCCAAGGGGTGCCTTGAGGCTCTTGAGGGGTGCCTCGGGTCTAAAAAGGTTAAGGGGTGAGGATTTTGAAAGACTGGCAGCAAAGTGAGAGGTTCTGGGTATCTGCCTTCTCTTGCTCTTGCTGTCCAGACAGATTGCCTTTGAGTACATAGGAAAGACCTTGCTCATGAGAGAGCGTCTTCCTGTCAGCAAGTGAAGACGCTATTTTCCAAATAGCTTTGCTATTAAGGACCAATTGTAAGAACTTTTGTAGGAGCCTTTTTTCCCCCTTTTTCTTTAGGTACCAGTTAATTGGGCGTCCGTCCATCAGTTGTCGGTTGAAAGGAGATCAAGTTGCGTGGAGTGATCTTCCAACTTGCCAAAGTAAGGATATGCCTCTGGTCTTGGGAAGACTGGAGGTGTGTAGCAGAATAACTCTGCTGAAGAGCTTCACTTGACAGTGTCCAAATGAGGAGGATTTTGTAGAGGTTTTGGGGAGGGGGCAGGCATGATGAGAACTTATAATGTTTAATCCCTCTGGCTACCCACCTGGGGAAGCTTTTCATCACAGGGAGCTCCCCCTCCTTATCTGGACACCTCTCGACCTACTCTTTCTCTCTTCCAATTCAGACTGCATGTTTGGTGGCCATTATATCAGCCAGATTTTACTGAAATGTAGGCCTTCATGGCAGGCCCCGCTCCCCAAAAACTGTATTTCTTCAGGACAAAGTAACCTTGAGGTCCTCATCAAGATAATTGCCTAGGATATTCAGTTTGTTCAGCACACCTCCTGGGTTTCTACAAGCTCTTATTCCTGTTAGCAGCTGCTGAGGTTATTAGTCCTAGTGGCAGAAAAGCAAAGGCTGGTCTGCTTTTCCTATCAAATGGGTCGCAGATGATGTCAAGACTTGCTACCAGGAGGTGAACAAGGGCACATCAGGCCATGTCGAAGCACAGTTTGCAGAGAGACATGTCTTACCACTTCCTTTGTTCAATTCTCCAGTCCTGGAGCTGGTTAGAACAACTGCCTGCAGTGTTGTTCCCATCCCCTTTGGCAGAGCCCTTGGTCAGTGACTTTTCAAATGGGATTCCCCCTCCTTCCCCTTTCCTGGTAGGAGCAGCGTGTGTCAGTCTCCAACAGTGCAGTATTTATGGGCTGTCCCTACAAGGGAGAGTTTGATCTTGCATGGTATGTGTGCTGCATGACTGGAATCTCCCTGGATAACCCATACCAAAGAGCCAAGGGTACGGTAGAGCAGGTTACCTGATGTTCTTTCCCCGTGTTTAAAAAAGGAAAAGAAAACCTGTGACCTAACAGGTGTAGGATATAGCCTGGGGAGTGATGTACTGCAATGTTCATAGCTGCTTTTTCTCTCTCTCGAGCAGTCACGGCAACACAACCTGCTACTCCCACAAGTGACCCCCCAGGACGAGCAGACGTGGGTGTTAATTCCACAGGTAAAAAAAGAACCGCCTGTTGCTTAAAGTTGGGAGGTCTGGGATGTCATTTGCAGTTGGATCCCAATAGAATAGGGTCACTTTAGTGTAAGCATGATGCCCTGTCTGGTCTCCTCTGTACTACAGATAGGGACCGAGGCTTTGTCACTGTACTAACAGGACCATCATCCATGGCTGAGGCCCCTACAGGCTTTGGCAGAGGCCTTGGTCAGTCACTAGACACGTGAGATTCCCCCTTCTCCCCTTTTCCCAGTAAGAGCAGCATGTGTTAGCCTCTAGCAGTGCAGTATTTATGGGCTGTCCCTGCAAGGGAGAGTTTGAGCTTGCATGGTATGTGCGCTCCATGACTGGAATCTCCCTGGATAACCCATACCAAAGAGCCAAGGGTACGGTAGAGCAGGTTACCTGATGTTCTTTTCCCGTGTTTAAAAAGGAAAAGAAAACCTGTGACCTAACAGGTGTAGGATATAGCCTGGGGAGTGATGTACTGCAATGTTCATAGCTGCTTTTTCTCTCTCTCGAGCAGTCACGGCAACACGACCTGCTACTCCCACAAGTGACCCCCCAGGACGAGCAGACGTGGGTGTTAATTCCACAGGTAAAAAAAGAACCGCCTGTTGCTTAAAGTTGGGAGGTCTGGGATGTCATTTGCAGTTGGATCCCAATAGAATAGGGTCACTTTAGTGTAAGCATGATGCCCTGTCTGGTCTCCTCTGTACTACAGATAGGGACCGAGGCTTTGTCCCTTTGCATGCTGTTTTTTTGTTTGCTTTCTGACAACTTGCTCACTTTACAGATCTACAACCATTTGTGCTTTGCTTGCGCAGGCCCCGGGGTGTAGAGGTCAGGAGGGCTGAGCAGCTAAAGGTGAAGGCAGTTCTGCAGAGTGCGTGTTCCCTGCCACAATTGAAAGGGTTCAGAGCTGGAAAATGGGAAAGAAGAGCAGTTTTTGGGTGTTGTACTATGTGCTGTGCTAAGGGGACCGTGATCTGGGGCTGGGGCCTCTACACGCTGGTGCGCTACAAGTGCAGGAGGGCTTTCAAATATTCTGTCACTGTGATATCATAGCACTGGTGGGTCACCTCTGCTAAGTCCCCACTGGGCTCTTTTTGGCATGACCATGGTCTGGTCTCTACCAAAGCCAGTGGAAGGAGCACTTGTAGATCTGGTGCTTTTTTCAATTTCCTTTTATTTTTATATTTTTTTTGTCCTGCATTTGACATACACTTTGGTTTGCTGTGGGGGGTGCTGTCTTCATGCCAGGCCTGTAGTTGTACACGTGTGTGTGTGTGTGTGTGTGTGTGTGTGTGTGTGTGTGTGTGTTTAAAAAGGCCAATTGGGTCAGCTTGTTCATCCATTTTTTTTTTTTTTTAATTATTTCTGTGACAGGTAATTCACCCCAAAGAACACCTGGCATGTTTACTGTTCAACATCATGAAGGTGGTGATAACTTTCTAAAGCTGGCAGAAAAATGCTATCAATGAACTTTAGTTCCACACCTATAGTAATGATGTGAACAATATAAATATAAATGAATATACATACCCTGACTCTTCCTACGAAATTCTTAATATTAAAAAGTATTTGATGGTATTGTTTGTTATAACTGAGGATGAGTAGTATCCCGGCGGGCTTTGGGCTCATTGCAGCGTCCCCCGGGGGCCTGCCCAGCCCCTGCACTGAGGGGCTGTGGGGTGGTCCGGCTAGCAGTGGGGCGCAGTGCTGAAGTGGGAAGGGAGGGCTCAGGTCTTAACTTGAGTTAGGAACTGGTGCCAGAAACAGCAGAAAGGCGGCAGCTGGCTAAGAGCAGCTGTGGGAGGCCTGAAATGCCTTTGGACACTTTTTAAGAGCTGCTTTGAAAGGGACTATTAGAAGCCCTGAATATGAAGACAGATTGGCACTGTCCCCCCTGACCCTCAGCGCTGATGGCTCTGGATGCTTACGCTGAGTTCAGACTCAAGTGGATGAATGATTTTGTAGCCACGCTGGTTTGGAAATGATGCGAGAGGCAAGGGTTTCTGAGGGCGATCTCTTTTATCAGCTCAGCTGAAACGGTGGGCTTTTTGGTGTCCAGCCAGCACCTTCATCCCAGGTTATCAGAGACCTGAGCAAGAATGTCCTACATGCACAAACTCGTCCAACTTGGTCCCAGCTCTGTGGTTGGGGCACTAAAAGAGATTGCCCTCACAAGCTCTGGCCTCTTCCATTGTTTCTAGACCATCACAGCTATACGGTCACTCGCCCGCTTGAGTCTGAATGCAGTGGAAGCACCCAGAGCTTTCAGTGCTGTGGCATTGGCATCCCAAACCTGACTAGCTGCCTTCCTTTTTCAAGGCTTTGAATAGCCCATTTCAGAGCTGCTCTTACTAGCTTTGAAAATTTATTTATAACAGCCTTAGAACTGATCAGCCTTTCAGGTTTCTAATAGCAGCCCTTGGCCAGCTGCTGCCCTTCCATTGTTTCTGGCACCAATTAGTATGCTATTAAATGGAGGTGAATTACATTACAAAGGAGACAGTGGGGCCAAAAGGTGCTGTGTCCTGAAGTAACTTATGCAAGTACCTTATATGCTGAAAGTCGGGGGTTGTTGGTATGCAATCAGAAGGCAAAAAAATGGGATGGACAAGTTATGCTTTTATAGTGCAGAGAGAAGTGGCCGTCACTGTGTTTTCATATAGCAATATGTGTTTTTGAATTTTTTGGATTTAATATACACATCATCCCCAGGGTAAGTGCAATTTACTATGCACTACCAACATGTAACGTCAGCCTTCACGTAGTTATTGACTTAGAATGTGATGGAAAACTGAGGTTGTGAACGATTTTACAGTTACGCTGGCATCATGTGTTCCAACATTTTTGTGCATTTCTGTCTGCTCCTATCCTGGGAGAAGTGGAGCTAAGTGCTGGAACTCTAAACCAATGTCAGTTTGAAAGTTGCAGTAGCTTAGCTCCCTTAAACGCAGGAGCAGACGGATGTAACAGTTTAGTTGAAATAGCTGGTGCATGTTTCTGAGCTGCAAGTACTTGTCTTTTAAAATGGTTTACTGTTAGTTTGTCCACAGCCTTACAGTATACTTCCCTAATGCATTCTACTGTTTCATGCATAAGTGTGTGATAAGAATAATAAGTCGCATCTAAATGGCATGCTTTAGGAAAACTACAGTCCAAGAGAGCAATTCCCATGGTTTCTAAACCAATGAGAGCTATTCTGTTACAAACTTTGTTTTATATCTGTTTTTATGGCCAACACATTCTGTTCTGGTGTCTTGTTCCACTGCTAGGTAGTTGTGGTGCCCCAACAAGTTTAAAGTTTGCTGCTTTAAGTAAGGAAGATGAGAGGCGAAATTTTTATCCCGTTGGGATTGTTGTGAGATACACTTGTCGCCCAGGGTTTGAGAACATCACTGAAACCCCGCCTGATACACTTGTCGCCCAGGGTTTGAGAACATCACTGAACCCCCTCCTTTCAGGACATGCCTTGAAAATTTAACATGGTCAGAAGTTCCTGAATTATGCAGAAGTGAGTATCTCTGTTACTCCTCCGTCTTCATTTATCTACACACCATCCAGTTCATTAGCTCCCGTGATGTTTGGTTTGAATGTCTCTTGGCCAGTTTTATTCTACTAACAAATTTGAATTGTTTTATTTTATTCTTTAAATAAACATAAGGAAGTATTTGAAGTGCCAGAAAACTTAGCTGTTCTTGAGAGAGACCAGCAAAGGTGATGTATGGATGCTGCACACATTCTTTTGCATTCATGCACATGCAGTGTGTGCTCCAGTTTTATTGGAAAGAGAGTGCATTTCCAGTGCCATGTGTTTCAGCTGCAGTAAGTCCATGTGCATCACAATGCTTATTATAGGGGGATTAGCTGAATTTCTGCCACTGAGCCTCAGTAAATGTTTTTTTTTTGTGTAATGAATGTTTGCCTTAGAACTGATGATGCAGATAAGAGTATTTTTACAGAATACATAATTGTCCTGTGCCAAGCTGTTAGAAAATACGGAGGCAACAAACTATTTGTAAGGTTCAGGAGTGCTTAGACCCTTATTATGGACAGTAAGAAAGCCAGCTATATTCCGTCTGCTATCCATTTTAGACTGTGTAAGTGCCCCAGGGTCCAAGTCGACCATTAGCTCCCATTGATGGAACCAGCCCCGTGTAGAATTTAGACCTTCAGCCAAAGCTTCTGATACTGGCCATTGTAGGAGACAAAGCACTGGACTCAAAGACCCTTAACAGGCATTAATGCTAATCTTACCCTTATTCTCTGCTAGGGAAATCATGTGGTCCTCCAAGGGAACTACCCAATGGCAGAGCTGTTGTTAAAACAGATTATTTGTTTGGTGCAAAAGTAAACCTCCTCTGCAAGGATGGGTAAGTGTTGGACTTTGGGATTAAATAGCAGAATTCTGGTCTACAAACGGCTGGCAGTCTCTGGATAATGAGGCCTGGCCTGACTTCAGAAATATAGCACCCTTGAATCAACAGCGATCCGCTGGGTCCTCACTTGGAAGCAGACTCTTTAAGCCAAGTTTAGCAGAGTGTAATTTATGATTCCACCGTCCCAGCTGGATGTTAAATTGGGGTGGGAAGGAAGAAGGCCCAGCAGTGGGAGTGGATGGGCAATAAGGATGTAGTGATGTAATAAAGACCTGCCCAAGCCTGAATGTCCCATGATATATATAGCATAACAGTTTCTATAGCAACAGCACAAAAGGGAGTGATATTGTATGAATAGTATTTCATTTGTCTGTTTTAAATATAAATGATCCATTTGCAGCTCAGTCAACTAGGATTGGCCTGTGGCATGAATCCAGAGTGAGGTATGAACTCAGGCTTCTTTCATTTTGCATCCACCGTAGTTTGGGATAGTCCCAAGTCACTATGTAATCGCATCTTGTAGCCTTCCTTGTTACAAGTATAACACTGAGGATAGTGACGCCCAGTTCAGCTGCAGCTGGGGTACAGCTGTTGGAAGGTGTGGTCACAGCTCCTATTCCCCTGGCCCTCAGTGGGAAGACCCTGCCCTTGTTGAAATCCTTATGGGATGCTTTAAAGCTTGCAGTGTCATCCCTGAGTCTAATTCATTTGCAGATATTGTGTTATCTGAAACCATGATTGGCACATCCTGATGTCATCTGGCTTGGCTTAGTTTTTTGTCCTCTTGTAAAGCAAACCTAGACAAATCCATCATGAAAAAATAAGTGTACTCCTTCCTGGGATTTCTGAAGGGAAGGAGTATTGCTTGAAGAGCTACATGTGTTTACTGGTAGCTTTTTTTAAAAATAGAAAATTAAAGCTACAAAAACTCTTCTATGAACCACATTTTCCATCTGGTTGTAACTTGGCTCTTGCATTGTGTGCATGGTTTTAATCAGGGCATAGGCCTTTCTTAAGGATCCTGAGCTGCCTGATTTAATATTCTAGTTCTCTGATTTCAATGTAAAATTGTTTATTTATCTTTGGAATCCATTTCTTTCCCATTATACCTTGTGCCGTACCATGCCTCCCCCTGCCCTACTGTAAGGAGTGTGTTTTGGCTGCTGTCCTTCGAGTCCCATCAAAAAAAGCCATTTTCCACATAATTCCCTTGGTGCACTACTGGGGAAGTAGCACCATGTCTCACCCCTGTTGCATCAAGCACGTACACCAGGGGAAAACACATGGCAGGTCCAAGAATCCCAAGCCGAGAAGGAAGTTGAGCTGCTAATTTTGTCAACAAAAGCAATGTTGGACGTCTCAATGGACGGCTAGAAGGCAAGGCAGGCCTTGTCCAGACCAAACAATGGCAATTCTCAGGAGCTGCTTTGGATCAGTCCTGGTGCCTTTAAGGTGCCATTGGATTGCCTGACAGTTAGCTGCCCTTGCAAAAGCACTGCCCCAAGTGAAAGTTGACTTGTCTGTTCTTTGCCTCAAATATTTGTCCCTTTCTCAGTAACTAGTTACTCAGAATTGTGTCAAGCAACCTTTGGCTTTGTTCACCTTGAATAATGGAGTGGGATGCGCTTTCATTGAGTTGCACATGAGTTTCTGGAGTCCACAGTCACATGAATAGCGTTGCCTGGGCCTGGGAAATAACAATAGGCTGTTGTTCTGGTGAGGCTTTGTATGGACCAAAAGATACCTTGTAATTTTTTTAGACAAGTATATGTGGGACCAAAAAAACTAGTTAAGAAACTTGATCATCTCTCTCTTTTTCTTCTCCCCCCACCCAATCTAGGTATGAATTAGTTGGGCAGTCGTTTATCAACTGTACGTTAAAGGGAGACCAAGTTGAGTGGAGCAAACTTCCAGTTTGCCAATGTAAGACTAACCAAGACATTAGTTTTATGTTAAAACTATGCAGAATGCAATAAGAAATCTCTCTTCCCTGTTTATTTGCCTCTTTCTCTTTGTTCGTCTGATAGTCTGTGGAAGGTTTGTCTGTCAGACTGTAGCTGTAAGATGTGCTCTAACGTAAGTATCTGGCTGCTGGGCTGTTTCCAGCAGCTCTGACCATTGTCCCCTGAGTGCCCAGATCAAGCAGCTTTCCCTCCCTCTACCTGACCATAGGGAGGTTTGTGCTGTGATGACGCATCTCAGGATTCATACATCACGGGGCTAAAACTTGTCTGTACATTGATAATTGTGGAGGGGGGGTGGCATAGCGCTTTTAATGAAGCCTTCAAAAACTGAAGGCGCTAATCTTGTTCCAGATTGTGCTAAAATATTGTTTGCTAAAACATATCATCTTTTCTGAGTATCTCAGTCAAGGTTTTACTACTTCAACCTTTTTTACTTCACCATTAACTGACACTTTTATTAATGTTAATGCTGACCTTCTTTCTTTGCATAATTACTTGTTCTTCCTTTCATTCTGTTGCCCAAGGGACCCAGGATAGCATGGGTTTAGAGAGCTTTACTTATAACTCTCCAGTAACTTACAGACGCAACTCTGGTTTCAATCTTATTGGAGTTGGCTCCGCTTCTTGTAAAATTAAAGATAAAACAGGCGGAGTCTGGAGTGGAACCCCTCCTGCATGTGGATGTGACTAACGTTACTTTTTAGGACCGTACCGGGTCTTTTTGTTCTGTACCAGGTAAAACCATTCTAATCGATTCTAACTGACAGCTGAAGTGTAAGTTGTATGGCAAATTTTAGAAAAAAGACGCTAATGAATACATTCATCTTAATACGCACCAATATCTGGCTCAGTCAGGAGTTTCCTTTCCTATCAGGCAAGAATACTTTTAGCAGCTCTTTATTCTCTTTATTCTTTTTGTCTAGTGAAAAGTGCACCTGTTGGAAACAGATCAAAGGCAAAACTAAATTCAGGTAACTTGCATTCCTTAAAGTTCCAGTTTGTAGGATCTCATTTGTACAACATCACACTGCGTGTTCAATATTTGTTATTCCCAGGATCCAATTTCTGTAATAAAGCCACTCGTATTTGCTCATGTGGCAGTACTGTACCATAATTTCAGGGGAGAACTTGTTTGACCATCTACCTCTTAGTCTCAGGCACTAGTTAGCATTGCATTAGATTCCCCCTGGTAGTACGATAGTTTTGTGAACAGCATGTTCTGGGATGAATGTTGGATGAAGAGTTGAGGATGGGGTTAACTGCTCCTAGCTGGGGTCTGTAAGATGTTGAGAGCATAAGTAAATGGGTTCAGACCTGTGAAAGCTCTGGAAGGGTACAGACAGGAGAGGCAAGAACTGGGGAGGACTCCACAGATGGACATGTCCTGGACTGAAGTCAATTGGATTCAGTGAAGCCAATAGAGCTAGGATAGTTTCACACATGCTGAGAACATGTCCCTGTCGTGGAAAGCATTAGAGAAGAATGGCATACAAGACATTTCGACGTGCCTTCCACATTTTATAGGCACTCAAAAGTAATGAGTTGTCATCGGAAGATTCCTTTACACAAAGATTCTTAAGTCCCTCTTGAAGATGTATCATACCTGTAAGCGTTGTCCGGGTACCACGGATGTTGCGGTCGCTAACTGGCGTTTAGCCTCAGTGTTCTTCCTTACTCACTTGCCATGCCTTGATGGAAAAATAGATATATTGATAAAAAACACAGAGCTTGGGAGGTGTTCTCCCTAATATGCCTTGGGGTACTGACCAGGCTTTCTTCGCAGAGCTCCTACCTCCCCTTCGCCCTGTCCTGACCACACCTGTGACGTCCCGAACTTTGGCGTTGCTCTGGGCACCCCTTCGTTCTCTCTTCTTCTGATGAGTCTTGCCGTGGTTACGAGTGTTCTCCTGTCCTTTTCCTGCCCTGCCTTGATTGTTCCTAGTGGGATGGCATTCCTCTGCCCTCCCCTGGGCTTGAGCTGTTTCCTTCACAGCCCTCTGTATGAGTTAAGCAAGAGTCAGCCAGCAACCAGCCCTTCCTGGCTGGCCCTTAGTTAGAGAGGATGGGACCCTGAGGAGCTTTCTCGCAACTTAGGCAGTGGCCTGCTGCCTTGCAGTTTGTTGCAGAGTCTCCCTTCCTGGGTTCACACCGATGGAGGCAGAGGGAATTTATCTTCCTCCCCATTGCTCCTCACTATGGCTTCTCCTGCCCTCTTTCATGCAGGTCAAGCCCTTCCCCAGCTCCGCAGTCCCTCTGGCCATCACTCACTGTTACTCCTGGACGTCACCAGCTCTCCTCAATTCCCAATAAGTACCTGCATCTCCGGAGTTGCTGTGCTTGCCTATCCGGTCTCACCTTTCACTGCAGCTCCATTCTCTCCAGCTGGTCCCTGCCCCAGCGGCAATCTGTCTTCTCTCCCCACATCCCTTTGACATTCTGGCTCCTCTGCCAGGAGTAAACCTGCTCTGGCCCTGCTCCCACATGTGGCCCTGCTAGAGTCTGAGCAGAACTTCCTTGGGAACACCTGAGTTCCCAGTGCTTCACATTGTCCTGCTTTTCCTGGTGTGGTCCAGCTGTGGGCAAGTTTTCTTCTTTGCTCCAGGTGGCATGTCCCTTCCCTCCCCCCCCCGTAACAGGCACCGTAGCAGGTGCCCTGTTACAATACCTATTTTGGTTTAACCTTGGTTAAAGTCTAATCAACAATAAAAGTGTATGTCATTTTAAATAATGAAAAGGTTGAGCAAGGTGGGGAAAAAAAGCATACAGTATAACAATGTGTACCTTTGCAGATTTCTGTAAAATATGCAATAGGTGGGTACTTATTTTTTGGCCTGCTCAGGAAGAGATGGTTTCTTCTACTCTCTTAAAAGCATCCTATCAAAGATACGAACAAAAATGCGTCTTATACATACCTAGCACTCATCTTTTCTTTTCTCTCATACAGCTCTTGTCCAAGAAGCTGTCCAGGCTTCCTTTGTCCATTCTAGACCATACGTGTGGTTTCATGCTGCTCCATATACTAGGAAGACTCCACCTTAAGTTTACCAAGTTTCTTCCTTCCCTCCCTTCGCAAAAATGTGAACTATGGATGAAATCTAATTGAAAACATACATAAATCTCTGGGCTACTGCTGCATTGGGTTTGCTTGTGCCTCTAGACTTTTACAGAAGCTGCTCGCCCAGCTCTGTGGGCAAACACATTCATTCCAAGGATCTAACAAGAGTTAGCAAAGGGTGACTTGGTAATAGCTCCTGTTTGCCCAATGCAAAAAGAAATGAATGTGTGTTTTTAGACTACTTTTGGTTACAGCCACTATTTCGTTTCAGGAACAACTGAAAATGAATCTATCAAAAATCTACCTAAGAAAGTGCTTCCATCAGCCTCTCCATGTTCTTTTTCCGCAGATACCTTTCATGGATCTAAGAAGTATGCTGGAACTGATATAAAACACTGGTATTATAAGAAGCAATTCCACACCCCATGGAAGCCATCCTGCCCTGCTTTCTTAGGCCCCAGAAGCAGCCCGAGGAACAGAGGTGAGCCTTTCAATGTTGATATTCAAGATGAACAAGTTAGGGTTCTGGCAGCTAAAGGGCAGACCTGAACTTTTATATCAAACCTTATATTTTTCTCAAGTTTTTGTTTCTCGTGTGTGTTTCTTTAGTGTTCGGTAGCTGCGTTAGCCCATCACCACGTCGGTTTGTTGTGCCATTGTACACGAATCGAATCGACTATCCTGCTGGAAGCAGTCATACCTCTCGCTGCCACCACAGTTACATGGGAATTTCTGGAATGTTGCCCAGTGCCACTTGCTTTCAAAATGCAAGGTGGTCGAAAGTCCCAATGCTTTGTGGAAGTGAGTGATCATTTTTTGCTTTGCTGTTTCAATTGCTCTGCAAGCCATCTTTGTGTGGTTAGGATCTTCTCTTGTTTGGCAGCTGGTCCAGAGTTCAGTCTTGTTTGCACTGATTTTCACACCTTTCAAGATCTGTGTTGTGCTTTAGGCATATTGCTTTGTGGTTCATTGGATATCTTTTTGCTCTTCTGGGAGAGAGGATAAATGGGAGCCTGACAAACCCTTTTTATACCCTATCCAAACACCAGACAATATCATACTGTACCTTTCTAAATTCTGATGGGTTTCTTTTTCCATGGCAGCAACATAAGGTTATCATTTAATGCTGATTTTATTCTATGCTAGAGAGATCATGGTCATCCAGGGGAACCAAAGCATGGCAGAGCTGCTGTTATAACCGCTTTCCGATTCGGTGCAAGAGTACGTATTACCCATGAAGAGGGATAAATGCTGTACTCTGCTGAGAGGCTTCAAGCTACTGGCGGACTCTGGAAATCGTAAGCATCAAAGATAATTCATGAAAAAACTCAAGGCTTTTGCTATAGAACTGGAGGCCTGATGAGGTACGCCCCTTAAACCGAACTTTCAAACTGAATTTGATCAAAGATGTGCCATGATCTTAACCTTCCACATTTCAGAAGAGAGCAACCAGTTGCATCTCCTAGGTTTCAATCGGTTTCTGGATTTTGTACCCAGAGAAGCCCTGGTTCACTTAAATCTTGGCTGGATTGTGCCTAGAACTTGGGAAGTATAAAGAAGCAAGAAGCCTTAAAATGGATGTAAGGAAGCATACATTTTGCACGAAATGCCAAGCAAACAGAACAAATATTTACCCAACACAACTTTTGTGATTCACTTGAATAGTAAATGTTTGTTCATCTCCATATTGACATTTCCTGTCCCTCCAGCTTCTGATCTGGCTCATGGGATGCAGCAGACCTATGGAGAGCTTTTGCCTGTAGCTTTGCAACAATTTAGCTGAGACTGTGGCTTCTCTGTCATTGAAGGGCAGCAGCATACGGTACAACAAAAGAGAAAACAGATGAAGTTAGAAGTCACCCTGGAAAAACCTGCCTGGCTCCAATGATAAATGGTTTGGGAGTCAGATCCCAGTTGCTTCATCCATTCTGTAGTTTTCCTTTCAATTCCTCATGAATTGCTTGTGTATGTAAGGCAGCAAGTGGTGTTCCTATAGGCATAGGTCATCCATAAAGTCCATTAGTTAACGGATATCCATGAAGTTTTTATTTAACAGCTTATTTTTTTCTTTTATAGTTACCTAGAATAGCTATTATCATTATAGTCAGCAATAAAACTATTTATTAAAATGTTTAGGGGGCTTTTTAATACTAGAAGAAGTGAATTGGAAAAACGGCAAGGCGTTTACATCAAATGTTTGTCTCTAACCAGCTGCAGAAACCCAGTGTAGAATAAATTCTGCAATTTCTTAGTTGGTCTAATAAAAGGTATCATCTCTGAACCAAGAGGTATAGAGTTTTGCGGTTCTTTCAGCGTAGAATAAATTAATTTCTCTGACCAAAACATTTATTTGCCCAGCACTGCTACCTACAGGTCTCTCTTTTCAGAGAGAGAGATTCTTACTGGATCTGTCAACTGGGTTTTGATTATTTTTTTTCTCCTTGGGTGTGGGGGGGGGGGGTGCAGATTTATTTCTTATTAAAGGGATATAATCAACTAGACATCTGATCTCTGTGTATATAAAAAGTAAAATAGTCTTAGCTACAGCAAATGTTCTAGCATCCCCCTTCCAATGTTTGTGAGTTTTTTCCAATCTGATTGAACTCTGAGGTTTTCCCCCTTAAGTGTAAGCGTTTCTCTCTCTCTCTCTCTCTTCTGTAAGCTGAAAACCATACAATGCGAACACTAAATATATATAGAGTAAATGGATAAAGTCACAAATCGTGTACTTTCTCCTTTTTGTAAAATATCTTTAAAGGTCACATGGAAAAGAAATGGCATTTAAAAAATGTTGCTACTGCTTTAATCTTAATAAAATCCCTTTAGATTTTTTCCATTTTTTTTTTTTTCTGTTTCATGCTTTGCTTTAGATAGTCAGTCATGGACAGCTACTTGTCCTAAGCAAACAATGCTGTTTTGACTTCTTTGTCTATTTTTTTTCTTCCCCCACTGAAACCTCTGGTTGGAAACAATGTGCTTGTCCACTCAAGGCAATACCTGTCCTTATGGCATGAAAGCACTCAGGCTAGAAACAGATCTTGCATGTATTCCTGGAAAAGTTGGCCTGTGTTTATCCTGGAACAAAAATATCCTGGGATTGGTATGTACATACATTATTATTTATTACCCTTCTAATCACCCTTTAGTGAGCAGCTGAAAACAGTGCTGCTTTTATGCCATTGATTCAATGAAGCTATCCCTGGGAAACTGTACGGATACACTTTGATATAACCCAAGAAAAGCTGTTACTACCTTTTATTTGGGAAACTTGTTTTTTAGGCTTTATGCTAGGATAAAGGTCATGGACATCTGTATACTTGTACTCGGCCCTGGGATAAAATGGTATATCCTGGGATAAATGCTGTGTCTGGTTACAGCCTCAAAGCACAGAACATGACTAATGCAAATAGAAAACAGATCTTTTTTTAGTAACTGGTCTGTGACTATGAACCTTCATGCCAGGAGTACTGAGAATAGCAGTCACAGAATCGCTTCAGAATTGCTGTCTTAAAGAGCTGCCTTCAAGAAATGGGCTAGAGGTAAAACCAAGCATGCTCTATTGTTGGTTGGTTATTACCTTATTTACTGATTAAGACAAGGATTAAGATGTTACCAATGCAAAAGGAATGATGTGGGAACTGCAGTTACGGGACAGGACAGCTTCAGCCTGTGCTTTAATACATTATTTATACTCCAGTATTTAAAACAGACTCATGGATTTTTTCCATACATTGGTCTAAGCCTTGGGGACTATTTCCTTAACTTGTTCTAAACAACACATCCCACTCAGCTTAAAGATGCACGCTAACCAGCCCTGGTGGGGGTGTATGTGAGCTGGGCATGGATACAATCGGCCTTTCTGAGATGTATATACCAGTGCAATCAATGCTTATTGTTTCAGTGCTGCTTTAGGTAACTATGGTGGTTTCTTTTCATGTAGTAGCTGCAAGCAGGTTTCTTTTCCTATAGAGAGGGCTGGGGGGACAGAACAACTTCAACGTGTGCTTTAACACAGCACATGGGACTGAACTCATCTCGTATTACAGAAGGACACTGGAAGAGAAGGAGCTTGTGGAGGGGAGTTAGCAAAGCACAGAAATGACATCAGCCGTAACACCTCTGACTGTATGCTATGCTCTCTGTGATTTAAAAAGCCCACGTAATTTATGAGCTAGAAGGCAGTGAAGTCCTTGATATATTTTTAACCAGCTGCTTGGAAATGCACTTGAATAGACACAAACATGGGAAACTGCTCTTTCTATTCATCCAGTTCTGCCTCAATAAGCAAAATTGCCATTGACACAAGGTAGATAGAGAACCCCCCACAGCTCAGTTAGTAAGACCTGCTCTGGAAGCACATCATCCCACAGACCTGACAGCACTCCTTATGGCTACCTGTATGCCCTTTTCTATTTAACAGAGATGCTTTAATTGTGCTCCCCAGCTGAAAGAAAAGGGGTGAGTATCTGTAGTGCTCTTTTTGCTTCAGTTCACAGCTGCTTCTATGCAGAAACTGCTAATCCAGATGAGTTCTGCAGTTACTTTCACTGCTACAGGGACTAGGAAAGGGAACTAAACCCATTTTAAAGTCACTTCTGTTTCAGATCTTTAACTTTGATGTGCAAAACTACAAGAAATCTGCTCACACCTACTTCCCATCTGAATTTTTAGTCACTTGCATAAATATTAATTTGAAAATGAAGTGGCTTGGTCTTTTGTTGACAGGGCTAGAGCCAAGCAAAGAACAGCAGAAAGTCTCATTTGTCATGTAGATTAATGCTGAAACTCTAATAGCAGGTCTTCCCTGAAGATGGAAAGCAGCTGGTGATATCAGAGGAAGCCTTTCAGGATTCTTTAGGGTCCAAAAATCTTTACAGCATTGCTGGGAAACACTAATGCATATTTCCCTGCATGTGTTAGTAATACAGATCTGCTGCCAGGATAGTCAGCCACATGAAAGACAACAGGCATATGCTGCCCGTAGTTTTGGCTGTTTATATTGCATGGAACCAATTTAGAATTTGGGGAATTAAAGTTAAGTGACACACAACTTTCCTAGAATGTTGCAAACGTAATTTGTATGTAGAAGAGATGTCCTCGCTGGCAATCCAAAGCTCTCTGTTCTATGGAGTAATACCTAGCTCTCCTGTGAAGCAATGCTCTGGCCACTCGAGGCTTGCTCTGTTAACACCGTGCCAAGCAGTCTCTTTTTCCCTTCTATTTGTCATGCACCACTTCTTCCCTACAAGAGATTCACGCAGATTAAATACTCTTTTATTGTGGGTTTACATAGCAACTTGCTGTCTTGTTTTCTACTGAATGTGGGCACAGTCCAGCTAAAGGTGGTTACCTTGGATACCCCACCTTAATCAGCGGTGACCTTCTGCCTAGGAACTCAAGGCTGTAGTTGAGGAGTAGAGCACAAGAAATCTTCTCTGCCAGGCTGAGGTAGTGCAATTGCTTCATTACGCACGGGGAGTCCTGGATACCATGGTGTTAGCCCCATCAACGACATAGCCCTGCCAAATGCCTCTTCATCAGTGAACTGATTCTGCTGAAGCCAGTTGAAGTTTAGCTTTTGGCTTCAGTAGCTGCAAGCCCAGGATCTTACTTCTTTTAGGAAACAAACCATGCAAGGTGCCAACTGAGCTGGATTTTCAGCAAGCTGAATAGGCTGCTACAAGGTCTCTTCTTGTTTTTTAGGGGAATTGTATCTAAGCCCAGCCGGACTATGCTACAACCGTCCCCTCATTTTTAACGCTGAGATTTCAGTTCCCTTTAGGAGTTAATCCAGTTTGTTACCTAGTTGTTTGCTTTTTGTTTTTCCACTGAACAGAAAACAGACTCTTATCGGGAAGGAGTCTCGGTAATCTGGAGATGGAATGTGTTGCAGACAATGGTTTATTTCATGAGATCATTCTTCACTCTGACTATGCCACCTTTGACTTATTATGTTCTTGTCAGGAATGAGCCAAAGAGATCTGGATAATCTGCCATATAAAAACAAACCCACTTAACTGTTACTTTTCCATTGCATAAAGGGTGCTATTACATGTGCAGAAGTTTTCTGAGCTTTTAAAAACAGGGCTAATCTGGTAAATGCCTATGCACTTAATTAGAAACAGGAGAGGTTGGGGGAAATTAGGGGAGCCTTGTAGAAGACAGGTGAGAGACCTGGACTGGCAATAAGGGTTAATTTAGGCTAGAAATCCGAAGCAAGTTTTAACAATCATAAGGGTAATTAAGCTTTGGAGCAATTTACCAGGGGATGTGGAGGATTCTTTCTCAAAAGAGACCCCAGAACTTATAAAGAAGCCACAGATTTGGTGAAGAAATAGTTGGATGAGATGCCATGGTCTGTGCTACACAGGTGGGTCATAATATCTCCTCTGGCTTCTGTGACCTATCTTTCCCTGATGGACTGTAACAGGAGCTTAAGGAAAGGGTTAGCTGGGGATGGGAAAACAGGCTCTGAGTAATGTTTCCCTCTAAGTAATAGATGGTTCCTTTCACAGGTCATTAAACAGAGAAGAACTGCCTGGGGCGGTGGTGCAAGAATAAGATTATTGATGTCTCATTCACTTTCATGACACAAGCAATGTGCCTAACCCCATTGCTGGCTGCACTTGAAAGTGCGTCAATACCTAGACCTGTTTTCCTCAGAATTTCTGACAGCCCTTATCAGCTGGCAGGGCCACCTCCCCTCTGGCAGAGCCACCTCCTCTCTAGGCAAAGTTTCATTCCAGAGATTCTAGTCTGAAAGCAGTGGGATTCTTCTGGCTTGCACGAGGTGTGAAAGCAATTCATCCTTGTTTAGGGACAGATAGCAATCTGACCCTAAGCAAGCTCCTGTTCACTCTCCCATAACCAACAGCAGAATGGAGGGTTTCCAATAGTACAACATCACCTGGGTGCTTGCTTGTTAGTATCTGAGCAGGCCCCAGGACCTGGCAGGTGAGGGTGGGGGAAGTGGGCAGCTCAAGAAAGGATTCAGTTTTCGTGTGAACTTAGTTTAATTGTTTTTTATCCTGATCAACCAGTTGCTTTGGTTCCTTTTACTTGGCTCATCTCTTGAAGAATATGTCGGCTGTGCAAGAGCATTAGTGCAAGATAAACAGGCTGTCCTAGACTCTAGCACCTGAGCAGGATGCAGTTGCCTGTCACCTGGCTGTACCTGGGTGAGAAGTCAATACAGCCCCTCAACCTTCAAGCTTTATGGAAGTTTCCAGTGGATCCAACGCCGGGAAAGCAACAGTGGAGGAGCTTTCACCAGGGGGCTGGGTGAGGGGTTAGAGATGTACAGGGAAATGACTGGTATGAAGCTGGGGACAACCAGGATGTCCTTAGTGAGTGTGCTTCTCTGGAAGTATGACGCAGAGGACGCAAAGCTATGTGGGGAGGTGGGGGGCAATTCTGAAAATAATTTCCTCATTCTTGTAACTCTTATCATAGGGAGAACATGGGCAGTGCACGTGACACATGCCTCTCACCTTGGCTGGGTGATCAGCTTAATCTCAGAGTGGAGTTCCTAAGAAGAACAAAGTCAACAACAAGGCTCATTGGTATTAAAGGGAAATCAGCCTGCGGGGACTTCGCGACTGCCAGGTGCCACAGTCTTGTCACCCTCCTCCTCGTCCCTGCTGCTTGCCCTTTGGCCCCCTCGGGCGCCTGCTCTCTGCGCCTGTCTCTTGCATGCACCTAAGTGGAGAGTACAGGTGAGGGAGTTCAGGGAGCAAGCCCAGCCCTGGGCTAGGAGAGCCCTTGCTGTGTTTGTCGATCAGGCGCCATGCGAGAACATGTAGCTTCGTGTGCTTTGTCCAGAGGCACAACTGGAAGGCAGCGTACAATTGCACCATATAGGCTACCCAAACTACATAGATACCTACATATACCGACGTATGGATATAACCTAGATGGGTTAGCCTATACTGTACAAACCTACCCTGTCTTCCAAACTATATTTTTCCCTGGAACAAGTGTATGTGTATATATATGTGTGTGTGTGTGTGTGTGCTCACTAACCAAAGTATGTACATACTTGTACACATACTCATACACAGCCCACAGGCTCTATTTTTTCCCTGAATTTTGAGAGAGGCTGCTTTGCTCTCTCTATATAGTGACTAGTTCATATAGACACAGAGGGCAAGCACAACCTGTCCATGTTACATACTGTGTGCATGTGTGTGTGTGTGTAGCCTCTCTCCCTCTCTCTCTCTCATACACACAGTGTTTATAAAATCCTTGTGCAACTTTAAACTTTAATAACTTTGGATGTACACATGAGAGAAGCAAACTGCAAATGGTGATTAAAAGCATCATTCATTCAGTTTTTTAGCATAGTGTAAGTTATGCATAGGGTAAAGATCCCAATTCATGAAATCATTCAGCAGCAACTGAAAAATGTTTGCTATGAGTTGGAAAATCAGACTGAACGATGTATCCGGAAAGACAGCAGTTAGCTGAAGTCTAGAAATTTGAGATGCGTTGTATTAAAAATGAATGGATGATGTTTTCTGTCGCCGCAGACGGTTTGCTTCTCTCGTGTGTACATCCACAGTCGTTGAAGTTTGCAGTTGCATGAGGACTTTATAAGTGTGTGTGTGTGTGTGTGCGCGTGTCAGGCCTAGTGGCTGCGGTACTGGGTGTTTATAAAGTCCTGGTGCAACTTCGTTTTAAGGTGTGCCAGGACTTTACACCCAGTGTGCAGCAGTCAATACGACACACACGCACACAGCCCCGT